AGATTTGAATTTCTGAGAACATGTAGATGATTTTGAAAAAAAATTTAGTCAATGTGAAGCAAGTTGAAAAAATACCTTTTTGACCTTGAGAAGGTCATTGAAGGTCAAATGTCAAATCTAAAGTCAGATTTGAACTTCTGAGAACATGTAGATGATTTAGAAAAAAATTGAAGTCAGTCTAAACAGTATTTGTTAAGTTATAGGAAGTTGTAAGAAATTGTTACAGACGCCGGACGCCAACCACCAACCGCCGGACGCCGGACGCCAACCTCCAACCGCCGTCGCAAAAAAACGGAGACCATAACAATATGTCACCACTTTTGGTGGTGACATAAAAAAAACGGAGACCATAACAATATGTCACCACTTTTGGTGGTGACATAAAAATTACATCTCTATAGGGTTGCAAATCAATATTAACTATTTCCTAGTTTTTAATATTTCATCATCTAAAAATACAAATGAAAAAATGAAGATTATCTTTTCATTTCAGCACAGTAAAGGTACAGTAATCTGAACTCCTGGTAATTTTTGATACTAATATATCTTTTGGAGAAAATTTGTTCATTTTTTAACAATAACAAACCATGAAAATTAACGCATTTGAATTGAACAAAATATGAGGAAACGAAATGTATGTAATGTATATCTATCATAATAAAATAATTTAAGCATAACTTTCCTTGAAAATACAGTATCTGGGAAATAAATTTAGTTCAAAAAACTTAATGAGTCATAAATACCTACAGGTTAACATTGAATTGTCTATTGTTTAAAAAAAACATCGACAGATATAGCCTACTTGTATAAAATCACAGCTCTTACACAAGCTATAAGAGTCTATAACTCATAATTCTATTTAGTTTCTAATACTGTATTAATAAGCAAAATTCACACTTGGCCATTAACTTCTTGTAAATCTGTTTCAACCCTGATGTTTTATGGGGTTTTCTGAGTAACATCATTCATTTTAAAGAAACATATAAATAAACAGAAATCAAAATAATCAACTGCTATGACCTCGATTGACCTCAAAATCACTTTTTTGGCACTTGTTTGATATTAACCTCTTGAACACCAGAGAATTTCATTTTTTGCTTGATCCTGCAATTTTTCTATTCTAATATCCAATGCTGAATTGATGTTCATTTTGGTAAAAGAAAAATCACACACATATTAAAACACAATTTGTAAAAAATGGACAAAAGTTAGTGTTAGAGGCATTTAATAGAGAAATTCTGAAACTAATATATCCAACACTCAAGGTATTAAGGGTTAATACCAGGACAAAACACCGACTACAGTTCTCACAAAATCATCATGTTTTCAAAAAAATAATTAAAGTGCAATAACACATGAATAAACCTTTTTGCAAAAGGGCCTAAAACCCCACCCATTAAGTTAATGAACTTTGCGTGAAAACAAGATTGATATGCTGAATCTCCTTTCTTGGTAAATGAATTTCAAAATCTAAAATAGAGCCAATGGATTATATATTTTCCTCTTAGAATACTTTTTCTGAATGGATACATGTTTTATGTAAAAATGGGATTTTTATACTACGTTCAAAATACGTTACTGAAGGACAAATAACCAATAAATTCAGTGGAAAAATTGAATGTGATCAATCGAATTAGCTCATCATAAAATCATAGTATGTGCAATTTTGGAATTTTTGACAAAATAAGCCTTCTCTATTATCAAAAATGTGATACAAAATCAATGCAAATACAAGAGCCAGGATGGACAGTATAGAGTATTCTGGATTAGTAACAGAAATTCCTATAGTATTGTGTTTTATTCAACAATTCAACTACTTTGGGATAATCAAACCCAAAATATAATAATGCTCATTTGAGCCTAGCCAAATGTAATTGTATTAATATCAATTTGTGAAATTAAATAAACAACAGATAAAAAAATAACATTCATCTTTTACTGTTCAGCTAAATATTGTTTTGCCATAAAATCAACAAATCAACACCTTTAAGGTAACAGACAGTTGGTATAAAGTTAAATCAACATATAATACACCTCACAATATTAAAATATCAAGAAGATTGGATGAACAGACAGCTTCTCTATATCCCTGTACAGTCCTTGATTGGTGGGGTGTGAGTGAATTAACATGCGCAAAGTGTGTGCTCATGTCGAATTAACATGCACAGAGTGTGTGCTAATGTCAATGTGCTGGGGTGTGGTTAACCACAGAAGAAAATTCTAAGAAAGGTGAAATTATGTGCAAAAGATAGATCTATTTCAACATCCTTGATTATTCTAAGAAAAATACCCAATAAACACTTAAAACCATAAATATTAACACAAATGATTATTAAGTATCATCCAATCAGAATCATGATTCGGAGTAAACAAAATAAGAACATGTGTAATGAAAAGAGAAAAATTGTCGGAATGTCCATGGTTCATGTCATGGGGTTTTAATAAATTTGCAAATCGTGTATCATTATTAATCTTTGAACAAAAAGTTATCCTGTGCTGCAGAAACAGGAAGAAGATAACATGTACGTGAACATGCATTTGACATATGATGCTAGTGCTACCCCTTCCCCATCTGTATGTTCTGGACCAATCAAATGCTTCTACTTGTTGAGGTTACGCTAAAAATGACTGGAATAACTAGCCAATTACAACCACCCATAGAATAATCACCTGATTATTGTATCAACTGATCAAGCCACAATCTTACCACAACTGCAAATCATGTTACACTGCATCTAACCAAGAATGTTCAGTACAGGGAAAGCACTGATCCTAAAATTTGCAATTCTAAGAACTTGCATTTTTGGAATCCTGGTAATCACACAATGATTTATCAATAAAAACAAAGATTTATTTACTTGCTCATATTAATAAATCATGTCATCTTCTCAGAGTTGGAGTTCAAAACTAAATTAAAGCATATTGCTTCTTGAAAAATAAATTTGCAAACATGTATCAATCAATTTGTGTAGTTCCTGTATTTTTGTAGTCACATGTACACTATTCCCATATTAAATAATTTTTAGTTTATTGCGAGATGTCATGTGAGATCACTGCCCTTTATCTTTTCAAAATTTGTTTAATTTTACAATGATTGCGGGAAAGCTATAACTTATTGACACATAATTCTATTTATAGTAGAAATGATATAATTATTTTCTGCTAAATTGTGTTGACTTAATTTGTTGCCTAACCAGTGGCAACTTTTGCTCTTTTATAAAAATCCACAAGTCAATTATCAAGAAGTCGAGCAAGCTAAGATGGTGCTGAAATATAGCTAGATCAAGATGCAAAAGTGCAGCTAAAAACAGAAATATATCAGTGTGACCGATCCCCTCCCAAAATAGAAAAATAATTTCAGTCCTATTATTGCTAATGTTCTTCAAAATGTCAAACATTGGATGCTTTTAAATGAAGTAAAATCCACCTGCTAAACATAAATAGAACATACTATACATACAGCTGTGAGCCAATTAGTGAGCCATCCAAAATGTCACTGCCTGCTATTTGTTACAGACACTGAACACTAACTGCGGAACATCAACAACTAAAAACTATTTAAGAAAAAGTTATTTAAGAGATTATCACAATGTCACGGTGGTGACATACTAATTCTTTGCATTTGATCTAGTATATACCTAAATATATCGGGATATGTAGTCAGAGAATCAAAACACTACATTTTCTGCACATGAGTAGCTGACAACCATTTCACATTCAAAGTTCCATAAAAGCCATGAAAGCGACCTTATTAACATGCAGCAAACCTGTAGAATCATCTGCAAAAAATCAGATGGTCAGCGTGGCTGGTAAACAGAAATTCAGAGTGAACCAGAAAAAGTTTAGAATGTCCCATCACCCATTAATATACAAGCGAATAACATTCCATATAATTCTTACCACACAACATTAATGGATTAAGGTTGAGAATCACGCCCAAATACCACCTTCATCCTATCAACGAGAATCAAGCAAACACTTAAAGAAAGGTAATCGATAATCCAACAGATTATTTTCAATTTTTGTCTATTTCGATAGAGAAAGGCTTAAAAAGAATTACAATGAACATGGTTGAAATGCTACATTTATTAGTTGATTGCTTTTAAGTATATTCAATATATAGGGAGGTTTAGAAGGAAGTAGAATGGATAGTGTAAAATGTTGGATGAAAACTATTCAAAACCATGCCAATATTTCCCTTGCAATTCTTATTTTGTTTTCTTAAAAAAAGGTCCAGGATTTTTTTTCATCGAACAAGACATTTATTGGTGCAACCTATGTATTTTAAGGACATAGTTCTTTTCTAATGAAAATTTTTTTTTTTGAAGTTTCACAGGAATCTCCTTGAAAAAGTATATCTGGGCAGTTTCCTTCTACTTCCTTCATGTTATTTGGTTCCTTTAATTATTTACTCACGATGGGAAACTTAACAAACACGGGATATGTGCAATTAGAAATGGGTAAATGGGAAGAAGTACCAAATCCATTAATCCCATAGTCTTAAACTGGTTTCAGTGATTGAACTATAATTAATCGATACTATTGCTGAGGTGGCCAGTTAGATATTCTGCATTTTCAAAGTAATTTTTAGCTGGATTAGAAAATGTCTTAGTTAGTCTAACTAAATGTAATAATTCAAAATAAGGTTAATGAGCGAAGAATGCGGATTGGGGATACACTACTTATATATACAAACATACACAATCTTCTTCTGTTCAGATGTCAAAAAAGTTCATATAGAGCATATTATTAAATGAAGTGGAGATCCGGTGCAAACGTTAACATATGCGGAATCTGCCCAAATCACATGTTCACATATTACAGTAAAACCTGCCTAGTGGAACACTTCCATGTTTTAGCTAACCAAGGGTGTTCCATTTAAACTGGTTTTACTGTGTACTGAAGATTGCATCTGAGCAGAAGAAAGCCTTGTATGAGTCTAACATGCAAACCAAACTACAATGCAACAACATTTGGCTGCAACCAATCTTTTAACATACTTAATTCAGATTCGGTGCAGCTTTTGCTAGACTCTGAAAATAATAAATAAAATGTGCCTCATAAAAGTCAAATCGAGCAAATCTGTCAACATGCATTTTTACAAGTACAAGGAGTGAAAATGAATGGTAAGCTAGAGATTTAAAAATTAATATTGATCAAGTTCACGGCAGTATCGTTGATAATAAAAACTAAATAAACTGTACAATCAAGAAATATCTGGATATATTTTCTTGTCTGTAAAAAAGCTGTGCACAAAAGCAGTTTTGATACAAAAATACTTGTCATAATATTTAAAACATTAAGAAAGCAATAAAGATAAACATGAAAATGATGATTGGCTGGATTATGGCAGCCATTTTGGATTTTATAGTGCTGCCATCTAGCGAAGATCCTACCTGCTCTGGTGAGGCATTCCTGAGTGAGTTAGCAAGAGAACGTTCTCTGGGTTCTGACTTATTGTTCTCTGTTTGCAGCAGTTTCATTCTATTTTGAGTCTGAAATCATCAGAGATCTTGTAAATACTTATTACATGCACATACTATCTTTTTATATGAAGTGACCGGATTGTGTCACAAAATGTAATAATCATACCAAAGTAACCGAATTTTTTCACAAAACATAATAATCATATCAAAGTAATCCCCCACTCAAAAATATAATTGATTTAGTCAAATTAGAAATCACTACATCTAAACAAGTAGTTGATGTCATTGGCCCACCAGAAAGTGATATACATTGACAATGTGAAACAGAATATTACTACATCCTGAAATATGAAATAATGTTTAATGTACGTTAATGTTGTCTGTTATTTCAGTCTAACAATGTTGCCTGGAGCCACACCTTAATCAAAATGTGCAGGATTTCAATGAATTATAAATGCTCGCGTGTGGACAACATACATGGCTTATTTATGAGGTTAGCCTGATCCAATAGAATACACTATTAAACAAGCTAATAACTGTTTTTCAAACTCTGACTAACAGAAATGGAAATTATACTAGCATGCTCTTTGAATACATTGATATCATTTATTATTACACAATAATAATGTAGAATATCTTAAATCAACAAGCTGTAAAAAATTGAATAAAGGAGGTAACTAACCAGTTCCTTGAGCTGTGCTTGCAGCCTATCTTTCTCCATGTTGAGCTTGTCTACCTGGTCTGTGTGATGCTGGGATTTGTTGACCTTCATTGTTTCTAGTAGAGCAATGTTAGCATCTTTCTCACTTATGGCAGCTAATATAGCTTCTTGTCTAAAAAACACAGAAGGTTCATCATAAATGTGCACATGTAAAAAATATGCACATGCATGGAAATATGCACATGTATAGAAATGTGCACATGCATAGAAATATGCACAAGCATTAACATTTTGAATCCAATTTGAATCTTCAACAAAGGTTATCATAAGTGATGATATGGAGGTCAGAAATGCTTGACAATCTATCTTAGTTCATGTGGTTTTTCCAAGAGATTTCATTCAATACAAATGGCATGATGAAAATGATATAATGATGGGCCAACAGCTCAGCCAATAGCTCCTAAAATTGCTCTATTTTTTCAGCGGTGTTCAAATTTGCCAAAAGTTTACCAAAAATTCCTATTTTGAAAACAAATTTTAGAAATTTTTGGAATTCTCCTGTGTGAAATGTGTGGGGAATTCCGTGAGCCAAGTGACCACCACTGGGCATAAATGAACATGTATTCCATGGCTGTTTGCCTCCTTCCTTGAATGACAAACACAAAAATCAAATTGTAAGACTTTTGCATCATACTGTTGTCTTAATGAGTAAACATGTCTGTATTTTGTATTTAAAAGCAGCATAGCCTAGTTTTGTATATTTTGTAAATCGTAAACTGTAATGACAATTGTACAAATGTGTTATCAATGACCTACAAGTACAGAATGTATGCCCCCACTTACTTCATCTCATAGACCTCCTCTAGCTGTTTCTTGCGTTCTGCCTGTAGCTTCTTCAGCATCTTTTCCCTCTCTTCTAGCTTCTTCTGCAGCTTTTGGACTTTTGTCTTCTGGTCTGTATTCACCATCTTCATCTTTTCAATATCTTCACATAGGTCTCCCATCTGAAATACATCACAATAATATTCATTACTTAACATACAAGGGATGTCATTTTTACATATTATATGAGGCAGGGCTCTCACCAGAAAATAGTTAGGGTGTGGTGCTAACATCTTCAGAATAACTGTTCAATCGTGATAAATCATATTTATGTTATGTTTTATCCTTTTTACATGCCATTATTGTATATTCAGTCAAGTTTAGACTGTGGAAACAGTCATGATTTGCCATTAGGGTGTGGAGGGAGCTAAATAGAGAGTGGTGCTGCGCCACAGTCTAAAAGCCTGGCGAGAGCCCTGTGAGGTGTCATTTACATGTAACCCTTATTTTCGAACTTCATCTGTGAAGCTCTAAGTAGACCAGCCTCCAAATGAAAAATCAAAATTTAGAAAAATGTCCCCCATTTATAGACTTTGACCTATGTCCTTCTTTTCTGTGAATATTACAGTTTGAAAAATACAAGGAAATCATAGTGTATGTGTATTAATCACAATTTAAACATTTGTACTTGTCATACTGAAAAGAAAGTTCAATGCCTATTGCATATTAATGGTGTAAATTTTATATAATATATTTTCCTTCAGACTTGAGATCAAATGGATGACTAAAGGGTACATTGACAACCTGTAGGCTTCACATCTTTGCATATTTTGCTTTTAGTTTTAGCCCATATCCTTACTAAACTCATGTTACCTGTACATTTTCACTATGGCAGTTTTTCCATGGGTTTACTATTCTAAAACTACACATTGTGCAATAAAGAAACATCCAAATAACAAAAATAATGGTGTTCCTATGATAATATAATATAAAGTTGAACTAACATGCAGAAATCTCTTTGCTTAACTAACCATCAATTCCTATAAGCAGAAACCTTTTTTAGGAATCTATTTTGGTATTCATGATGGACACCTCTTCAGGTAGTTCCTTTTACAGGCACATCTCATCTCAAAGGCATTGAACTAAGAACAGCTTTAAAATGATGCATCACATTTGGGAATTAGAAAACTGTTTTGTATGCATTTCTTTAAAGACATTCACTTGTCACCCTGTCTATTTGTAACCATCCTCCGAATGCAGGGTTCCAGAAATCATCCACTAAGTTCCTTCCTTCTTCCAAGGAGGAGGTACGAGTTCTGGAGGCCTGGGTTCGGAGGATGATTTGTAACAGAAATTTCCATTTTTTGATAACTACATTCCTAGATTTGACAGTTTAGTACAATGACGATAATCATTTCAAGCCAAAAATATATACCTGTTTGTCCAATGTTTCGATTTTAACCTGCTGCTCAGCCATAACCATCTCTCGCTCAGCCGTGATCGTGACGCTCTCTCGCAGGGCTTCCGACAGTTCTTCTATGCGCTCTGACTTTTCTTTTAGACTGGTCTAGAAATTCGAACAGAAGAGAAGAAAGAAATGAAAATAATGACTAACAAAAAACAGAAAGGTGCTTTTGGTTCGCTAAAATGTGATGCGAATGGAAATAACTGTAACTAAGAGAAAAAATAATCGACAGTTTTGCATTAATTCTGTTAACCCGGGGAGGTAGGGGGGGGGGGGGGTATACATAGGGTTAGAAAGTTATAATAAAAGATAACAAAGAAGAAAAAAGAAGTTTATTTATGTTATTGAATTGCAAAATAATTATGACATGTTGAAAATATTTTACTCACTGAAATACAAAACTCATAACTTTGGTTTTGCCAAGAACAATTTTTATTCTAGGATTTTGTGGCTTGCTCTAGAGATCTCTCCCCAGTTACATTAACAGATTAACACAATCATATAAATTACTTCAGGGGGCACATTATAATATAAATGTATAGTAATGCATTGTAATAGTATCGCAGAACACTGGTCATAAATACTTTTTTAGATTGCGAAAATAGTTTTAAAACAAATATTTCATTCTATTAGGTGAACACTTGTATTATATCACTGTCTTAAAACATGAGTCACATCATAAGATCAGCTGGTATTCGCAGGTCATGAACATAAAACATTAGAATATTCCCAAAAGCAGTGAATATTGGCACCTAACACCTGTTCCTGAGAATTAATATTCCCCACTCCTACGTGATATAATAAAACAAATATTTCATTATTTATTCAGTGAACACCTGTAGTACTTGAAATGTGAAAGATGCACAAGTGTTCATTTAATAGAATGAAATATTTGTTTTAAAATCATATTGTTAGTCTATACTGTATATAAAAAAACAAAAACATTGAGTTAAAGTGATACAAAATTTAGTAAAAATCCAATAAACAATTAAAACAATACATGCTACTACATGTAGTATAATACTATTGAATCATAATTTGTGGAAAATAATGATGAAAATTGTCAACTTATATACTATGTTCAATATCTATATCTATATTTTGACACAATGTGTCCCATAATCAATGAGGTGTGTCACCCTGATGGGTCATCTTAGGTACAGGAAACACTGTACTTTATGAGCTAAAACAATGAAAACCCACCTTTAATTCAGATGACCATATTTTTTAAAAGAGGACCATGCTTTTCTAAATTAATTCCTTATGAGCTAAAACACATTAAAATTCCCTATAATTGAGTCCCATGATATTTTAAATGAGTAAAATAGGCACTGAACGAAACCTGAACAATAACTGTAGATTCATCATGGGACACCCTGTACTTCATAAAACTAAAACATCACATAAAACCTCACCTTTAACTGAGTTGTGTCCTCTGTCATGCCGTCATGTTGTTTCCTCGCAGCCTCAAGCAGCTGAGCATTCTTCTTCTTTTCAGTTTGCTGTCTCCTCTTTAATGTACCAGACTCCTTCTTAGCTTCCTTCAACTCACTAGAAAATACAAGTTTATGCATATTTAGGTTGTTATTTGGTTGCCAGGTCCACAACTCATGCAAAAGGCTGCGAAGTGATTGCATGTCTGTTTATTGGTGCATAATAAAGAACACATGCCCCCGATAGCATATAGGGACATGTTAGGTGATGACAACAGTAATTTGTTTTTTATTTCATTGGGTCTAATTAAGTACTGTATAAAAACTCAAAAAAGATCCACATCGCAAAGGCAAAAATTAACAAAACAAGGTATGGCCATGACAAAATGTCTCCATCTGCAAATGTAACAATTGTAACAGGCACCACTACTGACTGCTAATGCCAACGACAGATGGCAAAAGTCAATCACAAAAAGATTAATAACAATTTGTCGCCACTTCTAAGCATTGAAATATCAAGGCATTAGCATGCAAAATGTCATCACCTGCCATTTGTGACAGACCCTGACAGCCGAACACTGTCCACAAAAGAGATGAAGTAAAAATAAGGTGAAGTATTATTAATCAGAAATTCCTTTAAAATACAACATACTCCTGGAGCTCTTTAATCTGGGTGTCCTTTGCTTGTTTCTCATTCTCAAGCTCCTTTAAGTTGTCCAGTAATCTGTCGAGCTCTCCCTGCGACATGTTCATTTGCTCCGTATAGTGCGCCACTTGCTTCTCCAAGTCTTTCAGCTTCTTTTCATTTTCATCTGCTGATTTCTTGATCTCACCAACATTCTGTTCTTTTTCCTATAATACAAAAGGTAACAATTAATTCTAATTCAATTTCAATATGATCTTACCTTACTGTTTGCCATGCGATTTTGGTTGTCCTATAAATAAGATGGATAGTAAAGGCAAAAACTGAGTATGGTGTGGAACTGTGTTGTAAAGACTTCAGTATGAATGAAATGTTGCATGGCCTTGTGGTTTTTGATTCGGATAATAATGGTTTCTGCTAGTGGTGTAGATAAGTACTCACGTAGTCATCGAATCGTCTCGCCAAGGTGTTATAGAATTCGGCTCGATTAGGAGTTCAGATTTCGCGAATTATTACACGAGTCTGAGACTCGCGAATTTGTATTCGTATTCGCGATTTCACAGCGAATCCTGACGTCAAATGCATTGTTTTTTCTTACAAACAGGGTGAAACTATGTACAAATGATTGTTCCGTGTATCATTTGTTTTTATTTGAATGAATATGAGTAATAAATCTAATTTAAATGAAATATTTTTGAGTCTATTTTTTAATTCCATGATTAATTCAGTCCGTAGAACCGGAAATGAAAGTGCTGCAACAATGTGTGGCGGGAAACATAAAATAAACAATATTTCAATTTTTGTCGTAATTAATCGTAAGTATGTTATTTAAATCGGTAGATATGGACAACTCTTGATATACCTAGCGTACCTAGGGTATTGTGCAAGTGAACAACATTGAAAAAAGGACTAAAAAACGACCATATGACATGCAATGGTAAGACTTTTTCTTGTTTATTTTTTTGATGAAAAATCGCGATTCTTATTCGATCTCAGACTCAAAATCACGCGAATTACTCGATTCCCAAAATCCTCGCGAGTTACAACACTAGTTTCTGCATAGAACAAGGAGGGAGTGTTTGACACAGTTTCTTTGTGTTAGACCATATTCAGTCTATATCCTTACAACCATGGTATAAAAACCTTTATGTCAGTCAGAAAAATGATAAAATACCTCTTCCAGTTTTTGAGTGAGCTGATTTAACTCTGTTGTCTTCTGGTCCAGCACTAATTGAAGCTCATTAAGTTTAGAATCTTTAGCAATCTTGTCGCTTCGTAATTCAGACACCTCGTCCCTTAACTCAAAGATCTCATTCTGAAAAAATAAAGGATGAAGTAATATGAATGCACTGTTTTGAGAAAGTTTCGAAGGAATCATTTTTGATCAAGTTGGATGGTTTTCTTATATTCACCACTTTCATGAGAAAAGAAATACAAAATATGTACTAATAGAAATCTGTTCAAAAATATCTGAATCTTTTCTCAAATGCAATCAACATATTATGAAGATCACAAGCAGAATACCTCTGGAAAGGAAACACCTCAAAAGTGGGATGCTTTCTGAAAGGGTATGACCCACTCCAATCCTCTAAATGGAACACCTTATTTTATTCCATTATTTAATCATACCTGTTTTTCAGTGGTTGTATTTTCAACAGCCTCCATTCTTGATTTCAGATCTTTCTGTATAGCAATAAGGTGTTCCAGTTCCTCTTGGTGCTCTCCATCTCGCCTCTCTCTCTGTTCTTTTAATCTTTCATAAATAGACAAATCTGGCATGTTGTTTGTTTATAATACAAGGCATTAACATGAAAAATGTCACCACCTGCCATTTGTTACAGACACTGATTGCCAAACTCCTAAGTCCTAACACAAACTGCAGGATGCTGTCACAAAAAGTTGCAAACCATAATAATAATATGTCACTATTTGTAGTGGTGATATAATAAAAGGGCTCTGGCTATAAAATACCAATTATTATAATCCATTACAGTTGCAATTGAGCATGAAAGTAACAATACAAGCTATTTTGATTTTTTTTCTATATCTTGGTGTACATTTGAGTATCAGATATGGGCATTGAGTTCTACTTGGTGGTGACATAGTTATCAGAAAACCTGTGCCTAAATTGAGAAGATCGGCAGAATTGTTGTGGGAATTTATTTCTGAAAGAAAATGGCACACTGAAGTAATGATCTTCACACTTTTCAGCTAACAAAACTGCTTTTCATCATGCAACGACTAAATGAAAGTAATCTAGACCGTGAAATTTAAGAGACAGTGCCTAATTGGCATTATAGATATCCCACCTCTCTATCTGCCGGTCTCGTTCTGAGATTGTGTCAGTAAGAGATGCAACTGTGCTGTCATTGGATGACTGTTCAACGTTGATTGTCTGGAGACGCGTCTTCATCTGTTCTAACTCAACGTCCTTATCTTTAAACATATCTTCCAGATTTTCATTCTGAAAATACAATTAATATCTTTAATAATTTTGGGGTTAAGATACACATACTTCATCAAAAATTTCCTGAGTCAATCATATATATGACTCAATAAAAGTATATCTTGATTCTTAACAAACTATTTTAACAATCTCTTAGAAGAATTTAACGGGTAGAAACTTGCTCCAGGAGTTCACAGTCAATATGCTTACAAATTATTTGTGTAATTGGTAGCAACTGCATTCAATGAAGTGAGGCATTATTTGAACACAACTATTCTCAAAATACCTAACTGCATTGTGTTATTACATTGTTTTTCCCCAATGCAGTGATCATTACAGTATTAAACGCAAGTATTGTAGCACTCACATAAGATTTTGGATAACTACCACAGAAAAGCTTTTTGCACCCAATGAAAAATTCCAATAATGATGTAGAATTGCCAGAAATTTGAGCAGAATTTTGATAGAGAAAATTGTATGCCCACTTCAGAAAAAATCCTGTGTACAATACTGCCATAGCATTTGAAAGAACCACTTTACAAAGTACGTATACGAGGACTGTCTAAAAAATCTGATGAAAATAAAGAAAAGGTTTCAAGATTTTTTGGACATCCCTCATATACAATTGAAATCTGGTATATTGTGACCCAGGTTCATTAAATATTAAAATGATCGCTCAATGGGATCTATAAAAGTGCACAATCATTGAATTATAATCATCTGGTATTTTCTAATTTCCCTATGGTAAATACATGTACATGTATATCGACTCGTTCTATAAATGTTAATGTTGTGCAACATAAATCATATTCCACTATTCAACAGTTAAAATACTCTCATTTAAAAATAAATGATAAAAATGTAAAATACAGCTAGTGTCAAAGTTTGAGATATTCTGATATCGCATGTCATACTTTGTTTCATCTTTTACATCACAAGTAAAGGTCATTTTTCTAACACTGTTTAAACAAAGTATTAACATGCAAAATGTCACAACCTGCCATTTGTTACAGATGCTGAATGCTGAACACAAAACATTATCCACAAAAAAGGAGATGATAATGAAATGTCACTACTAGGTGACATAAAAATGTCATTCATAGCATTGACACCTCCCTTCACATAACTGGAATTGAACATGACAATTGTTTTCAAACTTAAAGTCACTTGATTCTTTTAAAAACAATTTACTCTACCAAATATTTTACCTCCTTTCCCAAAAGTAATTGACGAAATGAGTAGGTGTTAATTGAATGGTATTGAATCGATTGATCAGTTTGTACTTTAATTTCTAAACAATTAACTCACATCTTTGGCAATTCCTCAGTTATTTTCTCCAAAAACTGATGATTATGTAAATTGTGTCTTAAGCAGGACTTCTCAAAGGTATGTAACCTTCTGTTCTAGGTTGCGATGTAGCTTTGGTTCTGTAGTTTTACTGTAGATATGATACATTTTTGGACACTGTGGTAATACAGAGTCACCGTGCCTCAGTATCATTATTTATGGTAACCGAACGAGACATCCAAATGTGAGCAGTCAATACGAATACTTCATTCAAATTAAATTAACAAATTGCAATTGATGAATGTTTGGTGGATGATGGGTCTTCCGCTGCCACCGTTCGTAATCAAACTCGCACTTATGATCTTGATAAGTCCACATTATTCCTTTTTGGCATTCCACGTAGTTTCAACCTATATTACATCTCATTATATGATAGAGCGTACACCATGGTTAATATCTATTCCTTCCTTGTTATTCCTCATGGCCATTCCAGTTTCAGTAATAAGACACAAACTTGATCTTTATATCAACGGGAAGTATTATAGATTGGTTGGTTTCCATTAACTTGCAAAAAAGCGCTCAATAATTCCATTTTAGGTAAATGTCTAGGGAAGAGTTTAATCTAGGAAACCATTCGGCAAAAAGAAATCTCTCTCAAGAGAGATATAAAAACTGGCTATCACCATGCAAACTCCTCGACCCTCAAATAAAACTACTTTATGACCTGTCCATAGAACACCTCTCTACAGAACACATCTATTAAATCAACACCTTCAAATCTGAATACCTCTCTCAAAATTCACATGCACCATTTCTCCGTCGAAGACATTATTAAGAAACTCTATCACATACACAAACATTTTCAATGTTTTAATCCACCTTGTGCTAAGGCAATCAATAGGCTCTACTATCAGACCATCAAATCTTGATTACTAAAAGATATATTGTGCAAGGGTCGACGGAAGGGAAACGAGGGTTGTTGATGGAAAATCAATATGTATCTATGTGTTATGAAGTGTAATATTTTTTTCCTTTAGTTCGTCAAAGATTAATTGCATGTAAGACTCGAGAAATCATTTATGTATGACATTGAATGTGTTGTAACAACAAGTACCTTGGAATTTCGATTAAACCCTACATATTCAAGTCTGAATTTGGATAGTTTTCCAATGATAGAACACTTTTCAAAGACCAAATCTTTTAAAATAAGTCCAAATACAATTTCATGTCCTATAAAATTAAACAATGTCACCACCTGGCTGCAATTAAAATAAATTTGAATCCAAAATAAACAATTTTAAAAATCACTTATTGACCTTTTGAAGGTCAACCAAAGGTCAAATCTGAAATCTAAAGTCAGATTTGAACTTTTGAGAACTTGTAGATGATTTTGACAAAAAATAATTTGGTCAATTTGAAGGATTTATGAGGATTTCCCAATGATTAGGAAATGGTTTAAAAAAAACAAAAAGTTGAATTAAATGCCAGCAGATTTTACTACCTTCAATCCAAACATTTGATTATACATAGAAATTATAAGCAGATCAAGATTTTAATATTCTAACAGGTGTGATAACTGATTTTTAGCCTAAATACCTACAATCATTTCCCAAACTAAGCGAGACTGGCATGAAATAACCAATTTCAACAGCAACGTTTAAAGCATGAGTTTGTTCATATTTCCCGAGAGGCGCAATGTTATTTGCAGTGAAGCATTACTTTTACGTGTGAATGTCACCATTTCTATGTTAATAGACGTGTCTTTCTGAATGCATTTATTGTGATTGCCAATATTACACTTTGACATTGCAGCTGTACTGACTGTTACATAAATTAGTTATTCTCTCATCATCTCTTACAAATATCATGATGGAGATAATGAATTATGGAATTTATGAGTGGGGGCTCTTAAACATCACTGAATTAAAGAGCCAAGGTTCAAACCCCAGAGGATCTGATTCTGCTTAAACTGGTTACATATAATGTTTTTTCACCTTCCTTTTTCAGCCTTTTCAATCTTCTTTTAATATTTTTTGATATGACAATAACCATTACATTAGAAACAAAAAGTTAACTTTTCGAATTCAGAACTGATCATTTAAAAATATATTGTTTATTTCAAGTGAGCTGCCATCTTTTAAGATATCACACATGAAGTGATGTCATCGAGTAATTTTTCAAGTCATTTGAAATGATATTTGGATGTGTAAACAATATTTTAAAACATTGCATGCCTTTAAGAATATGGTAGGGGAATGAGCAGTTAATAATGTGACCTCCCTCTGTGGTTTATAAACTCAATTTATGTAGTAAACAATATTTTCAAACAATCACCCTGGGCCTTTAAGAATACAGACAGGGAATGATCAGTTAATCATATGACATCCCTCTGTGGTTTATAAACCAAATTCACGTTGTAAACAATTATTTTCGAACATTGCATGGGGTCTTTAAGAATACAGACAGGGAATGATCACTTAATGTGACCTCCTTCTGTGGTTTATAAACTTTTCTTTTCAACATTGCATAGGACCTTTAAGAATACAGCAGGGGAATGATCAGTTAATCATGCCACCTCCCTCTGTGGTTCATAAACTCAATTCATGTAGTAAACAATACTTTCAAACATTGCACGGGGCCTTTAAAAATACAGCCGGGGAATGATCAGTTAATCATGTGACATCCTACTGTGGCTTATTAACCAAATTCACGTAGTAAACAATATTTTCAAACATTGCCTGGGGCCTTTAAGAATACAGACGGGAAATGATCGGTTAATCTTGTGACCTCCCTCTGTGGTTTATAAAGCCAATTCACATTCAAATCACGAGACAATTCCTAGAGATTGAGATGCTACATGACAGTAAGCCTCAGTAGAATCCCAGTCACTAGGAAGTACTGAGGAATCCAAATTGATTCAATTACATGTTTGAGCCTTGCCAGGAGAAAAGGAGCGATTTGATCACTTCAAATATAAAGAAAAATAGAACTGGTTGAAATCTCAGTAGAATTTCCATTTAAATCTGAAATTATAATCTATTGTCACTTTGATGTAATTTTGCATTTGATCATTCATAGCTAAAGTGTATCATTACAAGAAGTTTATCGGAGTCTATAATCATAAAATGGATGTAGAATTGAGAAAGACAAAGATCCTTTTTTCTCGTTACTACGTCGGCTCAGTTATTTATTTATGGAAATTGCGACACGCTGGCCACGTAATGTTACATTGACCTTTGCCAGACAGTTTAATAATCTAATTGCATAAGATCCCTGTGACGTACATTTGAAATAGTTGATCGATGTTTCCCGCTCTGTTATTTGTCTTTCTTTGAACTAGAGAGCATCTTAATCTTACGAGATTTTTAGTTTATTCTCAATTCGCTTTACAGTGAAACAAACAACCCAGTCGTGTCTTTGAAGTCTCGGGAGCATAATCTCAACGAAGTCTAATGTTTCAAAACATAAAACAGAAAGAAATGTCTCATGAATGGAACATGATGATCTCAATTTAATAGGCATACTATATATTTGATTATCATTAAATGGATATCAATGAGCCCCGAGTCGAGTTGGCACTGGCCAGAAAAGTATTCAATGAAGTAAACTTGGTTCCTTGCTTTTATTTTAGGTATTTTTGCTTAATTCAGAAAAAAATATGACTCAATAGCAGTTACTGTACAATTAATTCCTCATTTCATTCAAGACATTAACTGAAAATCTTTCAGACACTTTGTAAATATAATTACTATGAACTCCCGGAGTGTGTTTTAATAGCTTTGGAATGTACAATGAAATAATTCTCACCTTTCGTTGAAGAACATTTATCTTTCGCTCCTTGATATCTAAGTGGTCTCGTATCTCAGACAGTTCACCTTCAACCTTACGTTTCTCAGCTTGTATTGTCTGGACTTGTTTTCCTTTCTTTTCAATCGCTGCATCTTTCTCTTTGAGTCGTTGTCTCAGATCTTCCAGCTGAAATATACACAAAACTAAATTATATACAAGGCATAACATAAAGTGTGCAAGTCAAAAATCTAGTTTCCTATGTTCATGCTTTTTAAAAACATCATATATTTTAGTTTATCATTCATTAGGGTATTTCCTATGATGGTGATGAATCAGAGAGGTTGCTTAAATAGTCTAGTTGTAAAGATATTTATCCCATTAAGCAATTTACTCCCATGACTGGGGACAAGTGTATGCATGATATATATTCTAGTTTGAAGGTACACACGAGGGACTCTTCATCCCAAATGCATTAGAGAGTTAATCATGTTAGCCGATCTTATCATTCAATCTGTGTCAGTCAACTGTCAATATAATAATTGTGCTGTGAAATATGAGCCTCCTCTTCTTGACAGACCCCTATAATGGGGCCATTATTTATATGCGATTTCATGATGTTGGAGAATATGCTCAAGTAGATTGATTGACTTTTGAAGGTCACCTAGCTAGGAAATATTTGAGGGATCATATAATAATACATTTATTATACTTTAACCTCTTGAATCCCAGGCTACTAAAATTGGTTGAAACCCGAGAATTTTTCATTTCTGCCACCTTTTGACATTTTACTACACACCTTTACAACTTTCGATGCTCAACTTAGTAAAATTAGATGGTAGAGATCATTTCTACACGTTTTAAAACAATTTTTGTGTAAATTGGATGAAAATTGTTCAAAATTAAGAGCAATTTTTGTGAACAATTTTGTGACGGATTTTCTCGTCCCTCTGGGTTTCAAGGTCATTTCTGAGGTGACGAGAAATCTCGTCATTCTGGGTAGTCAAGATTAATAATAAGTATCAAAATCGAACATAAAATATAAAAAAAGAATATTATTATATTTATATGATTCACAGGTCCAAATGAGTCAATTCCTCAAAAATACATAAAATGATTGGCATTTTAATTGATTATTTGATTAGCACATTCACCATACAAATTGTATGACTCATTGTTTACAACTCAGAGTCCTATTCTTTCATCTTGTTTACAAGAAATTGGTTTTGAAAAATAATCAAGCCTTGACTTATAACTTATGCATTGCATATTCCCAAAAAGGCATAAATAAACATAATGAAAATGGCTACAAAAGTGTAACACTTTGTTACAGATGTAACACCTTGTTACAGACAGTAATTGCCAACAGGTGATGCTAAACACTGAACTCTTAACATTAAATACAAGTCGCAACAAGGCATTAATATGCAAAATGTCACCCATCTGACATTTGTTACAGACAGTGACCACCGAATGCTGTTACAGATGCTGTACACTGTTACAGACCCCAAACGGCAAACACCAAACAACGGCCACAGTTGGAGAATATAAGGATATGTCATCACTTGTGGTGGTGACATAAAAATGGAGGCTGTAGGGATATGTCACTTCTTTTTGGTGGTGACAAAAAAACCTCCCCTGTTTCATACTTGAATTGAATACTTACTTTCGTCACATAAACTCTTATAAATCAACATGATCTTCACGACTGAACATGAAACTGAATTTGCTGTACAAATCTTAAAATGATTAATAAATAATAGTATGAACTTTCCACCCATCTTTAATTCCTTTCCCCGTTCATTTGATTCAATTTCAAGATCTAAAACACGATAACCCTGACACATAATTTACAGGCATGCAATTAACCAACAAACACGTAGACGTGATTGTCTGCATACTGATGAGCTTAATGTCATCATCACTATGTTAACTACCATAAAACAGAGTTGAAATGAGCATAGGAAACATGCTTGCGAAGATTAAAAGCTCTCAATGGATCGGGAAAGGCGTAAACACTGTCGTAGATACAAAGTCGACAAATTCTCTCGACAATCTTGGATGACTTATTAATAACCATACAAAGATGTTAAGCAGAATGTAACACATGAGTTCTTTTCTCCAGACATATTGATCCTATTGGATCCAATCTGATTCTATTGGGTTTTTATTCTGAGTATGGGTGAAGACAGCCTCTTGGCAAAATTTAATCAATCTCGGGAATACAATTTTTTCATAAAGTTATTCTTGGTCTGAATTTTGATGGAAATGTTTGACTGATGAAGCCAAAGAAACAAAAATATTCGTAAAACAGGTGAAGTTTGATGGAAGAAGGTAGATATTCTTTAAAACACATTTAATGGATTTGACTTAAATCAATGTGGTACGTATCCTCATTATAACAACAGTTTGACCCCAACCCCCTCCCCCTCCCAGTCTCAGATTATGCAACAGGCATTTTGCATTCTCTGTTATAATACTCCTGGAGATTTGAGATATACTTAATGATATGCATAATATAAACAAATACAGGACAATTTGAAATTCCTAAAAACCCATTCTCCTAAACAGGTATCCAGAATCCGTACCTCCTTCTTCCCCCTGCTAAAACCAATTTGGAAGCGCCCGATTAAACTGAATCATGTGATCTAATTATGCACAATGACTTATACACGATTTCTGTCGCAGTGTTGCAACAGCCAATCAGATTGCGAGTTCTTAATCGGGGAAATGCTAACTGTTTATCCCAGGGGGTAAAAAGAACGAATATATTCTGGATTTTAAAGCCCTGTGATCTGAAGTTGGAAACACCCTGTTCTGTCACTTCCTGATGAAAGACAAGAGAGGTCTCATGAATCAGAATACTAAGTCCCATTAATTTGGATAAACCTTTACAATTTCCTTATAGAGTCTATTGAAAAATAACATCTATTTAAGTTATTGGAAAGAGACCGAAGACAATTATAGACAAAGTCCTATCGCAACTTACATCTGATTGGTGCACTGAAGCTCTCTCCTCTTTGGCTGTCAGTTGTTCTTTAAGGACGTTTATGTATTGTTCGTGATCCGTCTTCTGTCTCTCCGCAGTCTCAAGCTCTGTCTTTAAGGCACACAGTTTATTATCTTTCTGAGATACTTGTATCTGGAGGTCATCAATCTGTAAGAAAAAAAAACATAAAATTATATACAAAACATAACAAATTATCACTTGTTGCACACAGTCTTAGGATAGAGTTATGTGATTTGATGGTATTGCCTAAAATTACATGGCTATAGTATAGATGTTCACTCTTTGCGTTTCAAAGATTACAACCTAAACAAGGTATTGACAGGCAAAATGTCACCACCTGCCATTTGTTACATATGCCGAACACCACCAACTGAATGCTGAACACCATCTACAAAAAGTTGGAGACTATAACAATATGTCACCACTTGTGACGGTGACATAAAAATGAAGACTGGTAAAGATATTGCCTAAAATAAGAAGCTTGATATTAGATATTACCTAAAATTTTAAAAACTGGTAGCAGATATTGCCTAAATGTGAAGACATTGTATGCTGCTTATAGGTGCTTGCTGTATGAGTTTTCAGTCAACCTGACCATTCATAATAGAGTTTATTATGAAGTTATTACTGTTACAAGCTATCAGTATTTGTTGCCATGGTAACAGATATTGCCAACAATCTTGTCAAAAAGCAGGATTTAATAGCAATATTGTTCTTAATAAATTATCAAATTTTTGATTGAAGCATTACTGAATTATTTTTTGATCAAATATTGATGAATATTTGATGATATCTCTTAAGAACAAAAGAAAAAAATTGATGAACCTAAATGAATTTTAATTACTTAAGTTGTAACTCGGTTCTGAGCAGCAGAAATTCTTACGTACATCGACATTCAAAGATTCCGTGTATAAACCGGATATGTCAACGAAACCTGGTAAGTGCAGATTAACCAATGAGGTTTCCGACAAACAACTTTCAATTAAAGAATGTTCTCAAAGATTCTAATGAGACTAGTTCATCAGTTCTATGTCAATAAAAGTAATTACAAACTACACTTTCTGACTCCTGAGATTTAAATGACTATTAAGATGCAAAATGTGCTATGGTCACGCCATGATTTTAAGTATTTCCATGAATAAAATCAGATTTATTCTATCATAAGAACTTTATTTCAAAACATTCAATTAATGATTTCAGAATTTCAGAATTCAAAAAGACATTGTATTTAGTAATCTGGTAACTTTTTTCTATTTTGATTCATTTAAAAGGTGACAATTAAAGGTACAAGATGGAATGGTAGACTTATATTGAATATCTGGAAACCTTCCTCCCCTTCTTGTGATAGAGAGGTTTGTGTTAATGGTTGATGGGGATGGGGGTGCAACGAGGATAATAGGATAAGTCCTTCAATGAACTGAACACAAACAAATAACACATAAAAAGGACACGACATGTGTAGGCTTAACCACGACCAATGAATCCAAAGCCTGTACTATATCTTGGAATACAATAGACTTGCTTCAAGACCCAAGCCCCACTTCAACAATGGTTTGTTAAAGTAGATAAATGGGGGGGGGGGAGAGAGTCCAGGGTCTTGAAGCAAGACTAACTATTATAGAGAGAAGAAATCTTCTGATAATTTCCTAAAAAATGAATTTACAGTTTCTAACATATTAATTTAATCCCCTCCACATATGTAGAAAATAGTATATAAAAATCAATGTATATTGAGTTGTTTGGAGAATATATCTAATAGCATGTAGCAATCTTCAGGGTCTAAATAAATGAAGTGAAATAATCATTCAGCTAAAAAGTACAGCCTGCAATTAAGATTTTTGCAAGGGTTTCCAGGAATATGCTGACAAGACAATAACTGTCTTTACTTAACGATTTAATATGTCAGAACACAAGGTGATGACCGACAGGGGAGAGGCTGACGTGCCGATAGTAAGAAACCTAATGAGTTCTATATGCTACTAGCGAGTCTATAATACATTAATTCAGAAACCTCGAAGAGATAATTCATCAAAAATATAATGACCATTCAAAAGCTTAAAAAGCCAAAAATGAATTATTATTCTCGCTGAGAATAAATCAATGCAACATGTGGGGCCTGTAATTTATGAAATTGAGTTCAAACTCAACAGGGGATGATGGGGCCTGTAATTTAAGTCCAGTCCAAGGTCTCATCTTTCAATGAATAATTTGACAAGCAGTCCAAATTTTGATGATTTTCATTTATTTGTCTGATTTTGAAGAGTACATTATAACTATTCATGAAATTCTTAACTTGGGTGAATAGGGAAAATAGCAAATCTATCCTAATGAGAAAAATTTATATGCAGAGAGGCAGTGCCAATTGCTTTCCATACTTCTTCATTATGGCATTTTCCTATCTTTTTTCTGCCACTACTTGAGTGGTTTATAATGCCCTTGTGGCAATTAGCGCTTGAAGATGTTACCTGGACAACCCTTGAATTATGTAACTGTAATATTCATTATCATGAAGAAATAAATAATAGAAAATGGCCACATTGGTTGGGATTGGGTGTAAATATTTTTGAAACAAATGTGTGATATATACACATATTTCGGACCAAATGTGTGACATGAACGACGATCACGTGCAAAGGCCAAACGTAATGCGTTCACCTTTTTTCGCTGTTCAGATTTTTACCGTAGCGGCCTTTCATGAAAAACGATTTTAAAAAATATCAACATAATGCATGTTTTGCGTGATATTTGGTCATACACGCTAAATTGATGCCTGATTTGTATTTTTCCAGCAAATGCGTGACAATCACGCCTAATGCAAGAGGGTTGACAGGGCTGAACCAAAGTGATAGGACTGACTAAGGTGATGGACTGACAGAAATGGTAGACTGTCCAACTGACTGACCATCTGACCAACAGAAAGAAGGACAGACATTTTATAATGTAAATGCACAGGATAGATCAATTGGCAATTTCACTAAGACTCTCCATGTGGGCCACAAAACTCTGAGTCCTTGCTCCATGTAAATGCTCTACATCACAGAGGAATTCATGTCAGTCTTAAACCCACATGACATGAATGTCAATTCCCTATAGAACCTATTGCATAGGAAGCAAGAAAATGTGACAAAGTGCCATCATAGTGATTAATATTAAACAGAGATGCCAACAATTTTTCAGGTCCAAGGTCCATAGAACAAGGAAATGTGACAAAATATCATCACATGGTGAACTAAATGCAAATGGTTTCAACCATGTAAGAATTTGACACTGACCAACAACTCCAAAAAAATAGGCCAAATACGGACAGACAGACAGACAGACAGACAGACAGACAGACAGACAGACAGACAGACAGACAGACAGACAGACAGACAGACGGACAGACAGACAGACGTGCCTAGGCCGACAATATGGCCCCACAATATGTGGTGGGGACATAAAAAAAGCAATGGCTATAACATTATTATACAACACCACTTAGTGGTGATGGTGATGTAATAATATTAATTATAAGTTAATATGGAATACATGTAGTATATGGATCTGAATTAATCCAAGTGATAACCATTCATGGAAATAATCATAAGGTCCTTTTCTCTTTGATAATATAACTTAGCAATAATATTCATTCAAGTACTTATTAGACAACCACCAGAGTTATTGATTATAACATCAATCTTAATCTTGTTCCCATGATTGAGATATCAGCTCCTTCAAGCTCATTGCCATAAATTTTCTAAGAGGCAAGTATTTAAATTAAGTAGGCATTTTTTTTATTGAATGTACTCATTTCAAAGTAGGCATTTTTCATTGATTTTACTCATTTCAAAGTAGGCATGTAGTTTTATGGAATTTTCTCATTTCAAAGTAGGCATATTTCATTGAATTTACTCATTTCAAAGTAGGCATGTACTTTTATTGAATTTACACTTTCAAAGTAGGCATGTAGTGTTATTGAATTTAGTTATTTCAAAGTATGCTCATACTTTAATTGAGTTTACTCATCTAAATGTAGGCATGCACTTTAATTGAATTTACTTATTTCGAGGTATGCATGTAATTTTATTGAATTTACTCATTTAAAAGTAGGCATGTACTTTTATTGAATTTACACTTTCAAAGTAGGCATGTACTTTTATTGAAATTAGTCATTTCAAAGTAGGCATAAACTTTTATTGAATTTACTCATTTCAGCATGTACTTTTATTAAATTTACTCATTTCAAAGTAGGCATATACTTTTATTGAATTTACTCATTTCAAATTAGGCATGTAGTTTTATGGAATTTTCTCATTTCAAAGAAGGCATGTACTTTAATTGAATTTACTCATTTCAAATTAGGCATGTAGTTTTATGGAATTTTCTCATTTCAAAGAAGGCATGTACTTTAATTGAATTTACTCTATATTTCAAAGAAGGCATGTACTTTTAGTCAAAATACTTTTATTGAAAATACTAAGAATTTCACCATACCTATTCTTTTACTGAATTAACAAACGTGTAAGAGGCCTCTTAATTTAGTTACACTAAATTAAACTAGATAAAAACAAATTCGAACACCCTGAAGTATGGGATCCATTGGTTTCCAATTACATTCTTCCGAATGGATGTCAATAGAGTTAGAGTTAACGTAATAAATCAAGAACTGTTTGATTTAATTGTGGTCCAGTGCCCTATAAAAATAGACATGAAAAGCGTTTTAAAGTGTGTACATAATCGATTGATTATATTAAATTAAGTATCATTGAAGTCGTATATTACGACTCAAGATGTGTTTTGAGACATAAAACCATGGCAATGTAAGTAAGGAATAACATAAATCAAAAGTTGGTAGTAAATGACTTTAGTTACCATGAAAACTGAAAGCTTCCAGACAAATTAGCGGAACCAAGGACAAAGTGACCAAAACCTGTCTGACTTTTTCCATATTTGTCTGTAATGAGGAATCAGGGAGTGACGTAAGTGCGTATCTGAGGCCTAATCTTTTCAGAATGTTCAGTTAAATCAAAACAGCAACTGGTCAACCAGCCTTACATAATTTAATTTTGTTCAGGAAATGCAAAATCCATAAGGTACACTCTGAGTGGAACCAGCATCAAGCAAGGCTGGATTAGCAAAATTAATATGGGTTTCCTTGGTTACTGGTTGTCTTTTCGAGCTACAGGTGATTGGGAAATGATTCCATTGATTCAGACATACAGTTGTAGAACGCAAATATCAGACAATTTATTCAAATTCTAAATTCAGTTATCTTATACTTCTTTGAGAAGATGTCAAGAAAGTTGAGCGTGAGGAACTTTGATTAAATTAATAAGTTATGGGAAATTCAATAAAAATATATGAATGGTAGCTACAGCCACCAAAATAGAATTTGAGTCATGCTTAAAGGCAGAATCATATCTAATACATGTAATTAACCTTTTTAAAAACATATTTCAATTTTAGAATATTTTTCACCCTTTATTCCTCATCACCTTAACTAAATCACCAGAATCAAAACTTTATTTGAGGAACTGACAATTTTCACAGTCGCGTGTACATGTTCAATTTTGTTAATTTGGAAACAGCATTTGGGAATTTTTACATATTTTTACATTTTGACACTTTTACCATTTGAATATGATATGATAACTGTTGTGAATCTTTGGGGATAACATGTATGAGATGGTTAAGAATACATTGGAAGATCAATCATACATGTTGGTTGCAAATCTATCACCCCTGTCTCTAGTTTTGCCTTCAATATTCAGTTGAAGTTCATTACACAAGAGAGGATGGGGTTAACATTGTCAATGAGGTTTCAGCTATTAATGACTCCAACAGCTGATGCCCATGGTACTCCTACTGAGGTGAAAAGTACAAATTATAGGAACTAGAAGGTATAGCGATGAGTTGAATGTTAATAATTTTCAATATTTTTTCCTCGCATTCTCAGTAAATGGTTACAAAAGTGTAACAAATGTTACAGATGCAAAAATACCAAATCATGAAGGTCATCACAAAAAATGGAGGCCATAATAATCTAATATTATTTCAATAATGAAAAAAACTATAATGTAAAAAATGGAGTCTAAGCAGGATTCTATCATTTTTGATAGACTGAGTTACATTTTATTTTAAGACTTGTAATAGGATTACAAATTTGACCTTGACCTTGACATGAAATTCGGTGTTTTCAAAATACATGTAACCAGTACAATCTTATTCAATATTATAAGGCCAGGGAAATACCAATAATACAGTTAACCTAAGGCTATAAAGTTGTGACCATTTCAACAAAAACGAATTCCACAAAATGAGAAAGAAAACACTTGATTGGTATGAAGTACATAATTGGTCCTATGTATTGTATTCCAAATGCAAAAAGATACATCTAGAAAAATGCTAAAAAATGCTGAGAGTGTATTAATTTCTAGCAGGGAATGTGCCTGGAACACAACCAGTAATAATTGAATGTAAGACCCATATATCTACCATTGTAGATTTTATTTTAAGACTTGCAATAGGATTACAAATTTGACCTTGACCTTGACATGAAATTCGGTGTTTTCAAAATACACATGACCAGTACAATCTTATTCAATATTAAATTTTTTCAATATTATAAGGCCAGGACAATACCAATAATACAGTTAACCTATGGCTGTAATGTTGTGACTATTTTGACTAAAACGAATTCCACAAAATGAGAAATAAAACACTTGATTGGTATGAAGTGCATAATTGGTCCTTTAAATTGTATTCAAAATGCAAAAAGATACATCTAGAAAAATGATAAAAAATGCTGAGAGTGTATTATTTCTAGCAGGGAATGTGCCTGGAACACAACCAGTAATAATTGAATGTAAGACCCATAGTTCGTCCTCGCATTTCTTATTAGGTAAGTAAATAAGGCTGAACTCTATTAACTTCATAATGGCCTTCGATTTAGCAAATTAGCACTTTTAGAGAAATATATTGTACATCTCCATGGCAATAGGATAAGAAAATATCTTCTCTTTCGGGGAATGTTTCAATATAACGATTCAGGATATTCCTTTTACATTTTATCGCAGGAAAAAATGAAAAATACTCGTAAAATTATTATTTTTGTTTTATAGCAAGACTATCACGCATTATCTGTATGGTCACTAATTACACACATACCTTGGATTTCAAAAGGCGCTCCTGACTTTTCATGGCCTCTTCACTAACCATTCCAGCGTGTTTCTCTTTATCACTTAGAGTTAGGTCTTCACGCACACGCAGTACTTCATCCTCGAGATATTTAACCTCTTTTTCTAGTTGGACTACTTTTGCATCCTGTAAAATACATTAAAAATACAGCACAAGACAAAAACATGATATTCAACCATTTTATCAAGTTGGACTACTTTGACGTCCTGTAAAATACAACAAAAATATAACACAAGGTGAAACACAACACAAAAATCAATAATAATTATCTATTTTTGTATAAAAATCAAAGAGGAATTTATTTGATTTTTTGTGGTTGGAAATCAATAGGATTAATTTTCCTCATAGAGGAAACACAAAATCAATTGGCATTCAATCTTAATTGCAATACATTCTATCTTTATTAAAGCTTGCAATATAAACATGTAGCATGGAATGTCAAGTTCCAGTCTCATTCAAAGATTTCTATGTTAATTCATTGCTCATTAGCTTCAATACACAGTATAACCTGTAATGCGGAACACCTCAGCAAGTTGTAACACCTCTATAACTACAGCAGGCTAGCTACAAGCCCTTGTGAGCCTGGCCCCCTCCCCCAAACCAAATAAGTCCGGATATCTTATGCCAGTGAAGTAGATTTAAGGAGGGCGATTCACAGTGGCAAGACCAAAACTGTAATGTGGAACACTTCAGTAAGTTGAACAACTCGGTAAATTGAGCACCTCTATAAGCGAACACTAAATAGTTGGGTTACCTATTCGCTGAAATAAACCTCTATAAATGCATCATCTCCCAAGTTGACCATAATTTCAAATTACCTTATGTGTTCTACTTATACTATACAGGTTTCACTGTAATGTTTTTAAAATGAATTCGATGGATCCTTTCTATATCTGCCTCTTGCTTCACCTTAGTGTTATATAAGCATAGGCTTTCTAAAGAGGCCTTTACATCACCTCACCAATGCAAGATTTGGCCAAGTCGATTATTGAATCAGTGCATATAAATATTTAGAAAAGCCTTATGCCAAAATCAGCTGCAAGTGTTTATTTATAAAACTTACTGGTTATTTTGACCAGCTGATAATTAATGATAATTCAGAAGTCATGCAAACATGTAAATAAAGTAAGCATAAGAAAACACTCAAATGGCGGCATTCATAAATGAGCAAAAACATAAGGTTGAAGAACTAATAAAAAACATGTATAGTGTTAAAACAATTAGAACATGGGATTCGAACCAGGATCTACTACTCGTAACCCAGGACATCATTCTGCTGAAACTTCGCTAAAAATCTAAGAAGCATTTGATTAAAAAATACCAAAACTGCAGTCTGAATATTTCGATTAAGAAAGTAATTGAACTTGAGGTTTTAAGCCTTGCTAAATTCTGAAATTAAAAACTGGGAACAAAGTTATATATAAATAAGGGATTCCAACAAAACATTGTTAGTTTGAACTTGAACATTGTTTGATATCTTACCACGTAAGGAATTACATTTAGAAACTGGACCTAAGTTTTGGAGCAAAATTAATCGACAGTGAAAAACACATCTAAAATATTCACATCAAAAAATATATTTAAAAATAACAATAAATTCATAAAATAAATTTGAGAATACACTATGTTCTTTCAAAATTGTCATCAACTCAACACTAGGATAAATAAGAGTGCCCAAATGTTGAGTTTGGGAAAAAATGAATTTTAATGAAACAATCTTTTACCCTCATCACCCCCTGACAAAATAAACTAAGTGCCTTGACAATTGCTGACATTTGGCCATAACTCCTTTTATAACAGAAATTCATGTCTTAAAAAGAGGATGTGGAGGCGATGTTGTCCATGTTGGTAATTGTAGGACCAATGTATGCAGTCATTTGTGCCGACAATTATCTACATGCACGACATTGTCTCCGTGTCCTCTAATCATAAATGTATAAAACTCTTTTGATTTATGCTTGGCTATACTTTCTTTGAGACATTTGACATTAGAAATATGATTCAGGCAGGGGCTTCATTGGCAGCAGGCAACAGATTATTTTCAATCTTTCCAGTTGTTTCTTCTAAGATGTCCTGTTGTCTTTCAACTGTTTCTATGTTAAAATTATAATTTCAAACAATTTTCCTTTTTGTATTCATTTGTCTATTGTCAGAAAAACAATTGAAGACCCTGCTGCTGCACAGTCCAATTTTGGTGAAGTGATAATAATGCTAAAAAAATGGCTCCAAAACTTCAGGATTTTCATACCTTTGTATCTATAATGGACTGGAGGGCATCTTTATTTGGAGCTTCACGTTTAAGCTGTTCATACTTGCTTTGAGCATCTCTCGCCTCTTCTTGGACTTGTTGCAGATTCTGGAATGAGACAATTACATCATCAAGGGGTCTTTTTCATGAGGTCAATCATGTGTGAGTTTATTTCTCCTTAGTACTTTATCGTCACCAATAAACTAGTCTTTTGGAATGTCATAGACATCGTTACTGAAGCTGAATTCATGTATTGATTTACTATTATAGTGAACTAATAAATAAATGATGATAAAGAAATATGTGAATGTATGTAACTCAATCTCAAACTATAATCCCTAAATACTCAAAATAATTGCTAACATGCACCATCAATAGAAAATGAACTAATGAGGTGAGTGGCTCTGCATCATGCTATTGCCTTTTTCAGTTTCATGGCCCATACCAAGACAATTAAAGAATATGTAATGCAATATAGTACTATAGTAGTCTTGCTTCAATGCCTTATAACATCCCCTTCCCCATAAACTTTATATCTGGTGGTGAAGGATATTAGGTGGAGTGTCCAAAGACTTTATGCAAGAGCACATTAAAAGACAAGTATTTAACTTAAACAAAGAAAAGTGAAAATCTCAAGAGGAGAGAGATGCACTTTCCTAAGTCCCTGTCTCCTGATGAATGAGCTTTAAATGCACTGACTAAATGAGAAAATGTGTTCAATTTAGACAATTGCCAATTCTACTAAATTCCTTAAGTGCAAAAACCAAGGTCGATGATCTCTGTATCCCAGTGGAATATCAACTATATATCAATAGGCATTCAAGTCACTATCTGTGGTAGATTGGGTATCCAGGGAATGATACAAGTGGTGACTTTCATAATAGAGAGGCAGATCAATAGATTCTAAAAGTGATTCATATTCATACAGCAGATAAAAGGTTCTCTATATTCTGGTGTGTAGGATCCCATTTGAAGACAGGATCCTTATACAGTAGGTTACCTTGTACAAGTTCAATCAATAAGTTCTGAGAAAAAAGTCTCATAATTTTCTTTTGATAAAATCTAGCATGACAAACATGTACACATAACATCTACTGTGAAACTTTGAATTCATAAAAAGTTTCAAAACTTATTGATCAACCTGGTACATAAAAATTTGAAAGATTGATTTTCTAAATTCTCACATTGGATTGGAGCAGCTGGAGAAGCAATAATCTCCAAATGGGTGAAGTACCTATTTGGTTCAATACTAGGGATACCACTATTATATTTCTACCTGGAGCAAAAGGAACTTACCTCTCTTAGTTTTGACAGTTCTTGATCCCTGCCTTCAAGGGAGTTCTCAAGTTGTCTCGTCATTCTTTCCTCCTCTACAAGTCGCTCAGACAGTCGCTCCATCTCGTGTCTGTCAGCCTCCAGTTGCTTTGTTGCTAATCCTTTACTCTGTAGCATTTCTAATAATTTCTTAATACTCTCTTCACGAGCTCCTAAAGTTTGTTTTTGTGTCTCAATTCGTAGTTCTAACTCACCGACAGTTTTACGAAGAATTAATAAATCCTTTTTTTGTTTGTCTTTATCACGTTTTAAAGTATCAACATCAGTTTGCGAAACTCCGCCATTTAAATGATGATGGCTTGTAGATTTTTTACAGTCCTGAAGTTGCTTCATTTCTGATTCTAAAGATTGGATGGTCATTGTATGCTTCTGAAACACAAGAAAAGGACAATTTACATAGATTTATCTAAAATTGTGTCATCAATTCACAATACTGATCAAGCTTATTTATAATAGAGAGTTGTTTTTATAATCAAGTTAAAAGTTTTAGGACTGATTACAATACATTTAACACTGTTTTGCTTAAATATGTTTTCAAACCTTTTTATAATATGAATTATCTTTTAAGGCAATTCTCTTCAAATAAGTTTAAAATATTTACTTTTCAAGCATTTTTAAACATTTTTATGCCCATTGTTTTCCAGATTTATTCCTTCTGACTTAACAGTTTGCATTTTAAAAACATAACCTTGGGAGAACTTTACCAATGGGTTATTTTGATGAAACAAAATCTCGCATCTGAAATTGTCTATTTCGAAATCTTCATACTGGACATTGAGCATTTTTATTGTAATTTCATGCATAGACCTACATATAAATGGTGAATTTTATAGAGCCTAAAATTAACAAAAATGACAGATATGGGATTCCTGTTCTTCAAATTTCTTAATATCTTTCAACTACTTTCACTGTCATTTCATTCTTACATATACCCCTTGCATATAATATTTATGTTATGATTTTTAGTTGAATAGCAAGACCAATAAAGAAAATTAATAAAATAAGTGTCATTTCGGTAATTTCTGTTTGTTTCTCACTAAAATAGATTAAGTAGATATTGGTAAATAAAAATAGTATTCCAATAGACTTACAACTTATACGTACATGTAGTGTTTTGATCAATTAGAACGTTTATTAATTGTATTTTAATCCCATAATCGCCGAAAAGGCACTTTAATGTATGACTTTTGCATACAACCTGTCTCCATACTATAGAAACTATAGAAAATTTATTCTTGATTCAAGAAGCTATTAGAGGAGACTGGATATCGGATACTCAAAATTTAATATCTGGAGATTAATAAGAAAAAGTTCATCAAATATCACATCTCGAATATAAGGACGTGACTTAACTCTGATATCTGAGACTATTGTAACTATGGGTAACACATGATAATTCTACATGCCATGGTAACATAAAACAGAAACTAGACTTAAATATAACAAACGACAACTCAAAAAGAATGTTAAATGAACCCCTACCCCCCAATCTAACTCTATAATCTAAATTCCTCACTTATTTCTCCCTTATTCCTTGCAAATTACATATTTCCAATAAAGTTCTGATCGAGGCTTCCATGACATAAATTTATCACAAGTACATTTGTCTAACAGGAACCAGACTTAAATAATGAATAGTAAATCAATATGAATGTTAAATGAACCCGAACTCATATATTTCATTGTCAATCAGGATATCTCTCAGAGCAAACCATCCATAGCGTGGTAATATCTATGAAAATATTCTGTCTCTTCGGACCAAGGTTACCCAAGCATGAAGTGTCACCAAATCCATATATTTCATTGTCAATCAGGATATTTCTCAGAGCAAACCATCTATAGCAAGGTAAATATCTCCGAAAATAGAAAGATTCTAACTTTTCAGACCAAGGTTACCCAAGCATGAAATGTCACCTAAATCATCATTTATAATCCATACTGTTTCTCCCTATTTAAATGACTAGATTTGCTAGAATTCCTAATAATCCAAGGTTATTGAATTCATGCATGGTAGAATGATTTATTTGTTTCCTTGGCAACTTAACTGTGAGGAAATAAAGATATGACATGTTACTCAAGGGTAAACATGTCCCATTTTTTATATTTAAAAGGGAAATATTTTCTGATTGGAATCATTAATTTCATGAGGGGTGTACTTATCTTGTATTTTGATACAATACCTGTATTTATGTATCTCCTTCACATGGAGGTCTTCTACTTGGGGAGTGAAAATGGGATTTGGAAAAGTACAATATACATGTTTCTTATCTTATTTCAACAAAACACTCAACATGCCTGTTAACATACTTTTTTTCTTAACAATCTGATTCACTTCGCTAATTTTAACAAGTAGCTGTCTACTAATGCGTGAAATGCCAATGATGTCGTTTAGCGAGATGAATCATTTTTATTGACCACATATCTCTACTTTGAGGACCCTATTTCCTCTAGCTCTCCAACGCTTCAGATACAGGAAATTACCACCAAATGAAAAGATCTTCAAAAAGTATTAGAACCTCAAACTTAATCCCGGTGCCATCTACTCCAATCTGTACTTTAGAGTCGTTAAAGCTTATCTTGAGCTGAGCCTAGTTTCTATTTTTCTCTAAAAAGAAGCATTTCTAATTTACCAGGGATCGCTATTGATGTTTAAGAGGACAGAGAGACAACAGAGCTGCTGCAGAACTTATAAAGACAATCAAATCCTCGCATCATCGCAATTACAGTGTAAGATATCATGGTTCCAAAACACCATGTATTCATGCCATGCCCTGCTATCTGCCCTAAAATATTCACATGGTCACGGTGGAGTACAATGAGCCCACACGGTCACAGCGGAGAACAATGAGCCCACACGGTCACAGCGGAGAACAATGAGCCCACACGGCCACAGCGGAGAACAATGGGCCCACACGGTCACAGCAGAGAACAATGAGCCCACGCGGCCTAAGTTTGAAAGTTCCATTATAAATCTGAGTCTGCTTTTATTTTGAAGGGTTCAATTTTCAATACTTCTTCCAAATACAAGTTCAACTTAGTTTTGACTTAACATTTTCATAATGACTGGTTAAATTCTTCATTCATTTTCACATAATCTCTTGTAGAAAAATGTAAAACATTTTGGTTTTTCTGCTTTTGGCATTTGTGCTTCAAACATTCTCGAATTAAATTCCCCTGCGTGTCAATCTGACAGTTGGATTAGATCTAGGCTTTTCTCTGTTATACCAAAACCAGGAGAGATTTAGATTTGCATAGAGGGCTGAAAGACTAAAGTGCTCTGATTTATGGAAAAAACTTACTTGTGAATAGTTATGTAACAGATAAAGATGAATGGCTTTAAGGTAGTTCTGCACTTAAACTTCCAAAAAAAAGTTAAAAACAAAAAATCAGGTCCATGCCATTCCATCAATTTATTGAAATATTTTGATTTTGAACTATGTTTTCTACCATGTGTAAATTAATCCAAATCATAACGTGAAAAATATATAATTATCACTTCATCAATTATTGGTTATAGTAATCATAATGATAGATCCAAGGATTATCTCTGTCTCAAAGAATGTACATGAAGCACTCTTTTAATAAAGTATAAAATCACACTAGTTGAAAATATAAGTGGATTTCTGGTAAGATATTCAATCTGTGTTCACTGGAGCAATGTCAAATCACTTCACTTTGCATGCTAAAGAATCTTTACAGAGAACTATCTTCTGATTCAGCATTAATAGAGTTCCTGCAATAGATTTTTGTCACGCACGAAACAACTTTATGGCCTCGTTGTCACTTAGATCAGTATGCAGTAATGAAATGCTTTTCTAGGGGTGTGAAATATTTAATTTACACTGTAAAGAGTTCTTCCAAATTATGTTTGTGGATCAAAATCGGTCTGAGAGATTGACTATTTCAGGTTTCATTTGTGGATAGGATTTGTCCATATAAGATTTAAGCGGACCGATAACCTTTTTATTTTTTCGTGGAGCCACTCAGTAAAATTACAGTACATATATCAGTGTTCTCCACAGAATTCTTTCTCAAGTAGGTGCAAAATTCTCATTTTCACAATTCAGACCAACATTGGTCAAAATATGCCAATTTTTCATGATTTTTCTCATTTTCAGGTGGGTGCAAATAGATTTTCAGGTGGGTGCAAGTCTGTTTTCAAAATCTCAGGTGGGTGCTGCACCCACTTACTTTAATGCTGGGGAGATCACTGGTATAATACATGAACCTAGAATAGAAACTTCAAAAATATAATGAAGGAGTGAAAGCCCCACTTAACGATTAATTCTGATTTATCTTTTGTTTCATTCTATTATACTGGTGGTGAATATAAAAAGTATTCATAATTGTTTGAAACCTAAGATCATTCCAGTTTTAACATGAGATGTTCAGTATGTGACAAACCTTACATTTCTCTAGGAAATAGCTATGCCAAAATTGCAAACCACGTATTATCATTCCGACTTAGAAAATGTTGAACTAAATATTTTTGATCTGTTTTTTTTTATTATTTTTTCATCATGAAATTAATTCATTGAGGCAAGGATTTTATTTCATGACTACAAGTATTTTAGATACAATGTATGTACTTTAGCTTGATAGGCATTCGCAGAAATTCTCAAAGTCTAACAAAAGAGCATTGTCATAAATAAGTAATCCTGCTGGGTCCAAGAGGTGATAAAAATCACATTGACACGTTTTGTAGGATCATTTGCATTGAATCGCAAAAATTAGGAGCTTTATTTTTTTTCTCCAGGGTCTCATATACTGAAGAAGAAAAAGAAACATTAGACGGTCAATAGCCATTGTTTACAACATTTACTGGAGTTAAGAATACCTATTTCAGTTGAAATGGACTCAATACGTCAGAATTTTAAATTAAGAAATGAAAGAAAACAATATCCAAGGCCTTTTGTACTTTAAAAATGGCACAATTTGGTGTGTGGCAAATGGTGACAAAAAGAGAGCTCTACAAAATGAGACAAAGATACCTGCATAAAATGGATATGAGTTTCAGTTGAAATGAATGGCAGTCTTACATTAAACAATATACAGCTATCAACAATAACATTGTACAATTTTATAGAACATGGTCTCACTCAGGAGTTAAATCCCAAATGTGAATCCAAGAGCATATAAAGTTACAAACTATTAAATGATCCATAGAGATATAAGGATGAGTGTAATTTTCAACATGCATTGTTGGTGCATACAGTCATTCGATCAATTCAATTACGACTTGTCAATTCCTCACTCCCGCCTAACCCTGGGGAAATAACACTATTGGTATTTTTCTTGGTTCTGTAAAAGCTCAACTATTTTATCACATTTGAAGCTCCATCGCCATGACATGTGCGACTTCTGTCCAG